AGCCATGAAGACTGAAGCAAAGAATTCATTTAGTTTATTCACAATGACTTTACCGTCTTTAAGTGTTCCTTTTGTATCTCGATTGTCCAGGGGCCCCACTGGTTGTTTAGGAGGCTTCCTGCTTCTGATGTACTTAAACATTTTGTTATTACCTTTTGAGGTTTTGGCTAGCTATTCTTCAAACTCCTTTTTGGCTTTTCTTACTACATTTTTACACTTAATTTGGCAGTGTTTATGCTTCTTTCTATTTACCTCACTAGGATATAACATCCACTTTTTAGAAGATACCTTTTTCATCTCTCACTGCTTCTTTTACATGGCTGTTAAGCCACCGTGGCTCTTTTTTAGTTATTTTACTGTGTTTTTTAATTTGGGGTATACATTTAAGTTGGGCCTCTATTATGGTGTCTTTGAAAAGTGTCCATGCAGCTTGCAAGGATTTCACTCTAGTCACTGTACCTTTTAATTTGTTTAACTAACCTCCTCATTTTTGCATAGCTCCCCTTTCTGAAATTAAATGCCACAGTGTTGGGCTGTTGAGGTGTTCTTCCCACCACAGGAATGGTAAATGTTATTATATTATGGTCACTATTTCCAAGCAGTCCTGTTACAGTTACCTCTTGGACCAGATCCTGCGCTCCACTCAGGACTAAATCGAGAATTGCCTCTCTCCTTGTGGGTTCCCTTACCAGCTGCTCCAAGAAGCAGTCATTTAAAGTATCGAGAAATTTTGTCTCTGCATTTCGTCCTGAGGTGACATGTACCCAGTCAATATGGGGATAATTGAAATCCCCCACTATTACTGAGTTCTTTATTTTGATAGCCTCTCTAATCTCCCGTAGCATTTCACTGTCACTATCACTATCTTGGTCAGGTAGTCGATAATAGATCCCTACTGTTATATTCTTATTAGAGCACGGAATTATAATCCATAGAGATTCTATGGAACATGTGGATTCATTTAAGATTTTTACTTCATTTGATTATATATTTTCTTTCACATATAGTGCCACTCCCTCCTCCCCCCACACGACCTGTTCTATCCTTCCGATATATTTTGTACCCCAGAATGATTGTGTCCCATTGATTGTCCTCACTCCACCAGGTTTCTGTGATGCCTATTATATCAATATCCTCCTTTAACACGAGGCACTCTAATTCACCCATCTTATTATTTAAACTTCTAGCATTTGTGTACAAGCACTTTAAAAACTTGTCACTGTTTATTTGTCTGCCCTTTTCTGATGTGTCATTCTTTTTTATGTGAATGTTTCTCGTCTGATCTGGCCCATACCGTATCCTCTTCCATCCTCTCCTCCTGACTAAAACCTAGAGAATCTCTATTAATAGACTCTCCTCTAAGAGAAGTCTCTGTCCGATCCACATGCTCCTCTGCAGCAATTGGCTTTCCCCCCGATCTCAGTTTAAAAACTGCTCTGCAACCTTTTTAAGTGTCAGCAGTCTGCATCCACTTTGGTTTAGGTGGAGCCCATCCTTCCTGTATAGGCTCCCCCATCCCAAAAGTTTCCCCAGTTCCTAATAAATCTAAACCCCTCCTCTCTACACCATCGTCTCATCCATGCATTGAGACGCTGAAGCTCTGCCTGCCTACTTAGCCCTGTACGTGGAACTGGGAGCATTTCTGAGACTGCCACCATAGAGGTCCTGGATTTCAGTCTCTTTCTTAGCAGCCTAAATTTGGCCTCCAGGACGTCTCTCCTACTCTTCCCTATGTCATTGGTACCTACATGTGCCACGACCACCGGCTCCTCTCCAGCACTACACATTAGTCTATCTAGATGCATCGAGAGATCTGCAACCTTCGCACCAGGCAGGCAAGTCACCATACGGTTCTCCCGGTCATCACAAACCCAGCTATGTTTCTAAATGATCGAATCTCCTGCCTTTTCCTAATGACTGGAGTTCCCTCCCCCAGAGAGGTAACCTCAGTGCGAGAGGATACGCCATCATCATCTGGAAGGAGGGTCCCAACTATGGGAAGATTTTCCTCTGCTCCCGCTGACTGCTCTCCTTCCCTGAGCCTTTGATCCTCCTTAACAGCGCAGGGGCTGTCTGACCAGAGGTGGGACAAATCTACAGTGTCCCAGAAAGCCTCATCAACATACCTCTGTGCCTCCCTTACCTCCTCCAGTTCCGCCACCCTGGCCTCCAAAGCCCGTATGCGGACTCTGAGGACCAGGAGCTCCTTGCACCGAATGCACACATACGCCACCCGCCCACAGGGCAGGTAATCATACACTGAACGCAATAAACAGGATAGCCCCTACTCTGTTGCTGGGCTTCTGCTTGCATTCTCTCCTACATCTCACCGATTCATCAAGTGACACCTTCAGGTTCTTTAGCACACGATTGACCAATAGTTAAATCCTTTTTATAAACGTAAATATTAAAATTATTTGAAGTATGCTAAATAAAATGTCCTTCAGAGTATCTCTAATAAGAAGAGACTCTTTACTTAGTCCTTGAACTTTGAGCTAACTTGATCCTACTAATAATCATTAATATTTAGATATAACTAGCCTCTCTAAAGTCATCAAGAGAGCTCAACTGACACCAACATTCCGGAACAGGATTTTAAGAAATACAAAGCTAAGATCTGTCAAATGTACAACTTTTACACTATTGAAAATTTGCAGGCACTAGCAGAGCCCAATAAATTATCCCATATTTACCAGGAGCTAATCCTTAAGAGTGTAGTACTTTACAACAAGCTATTTTATTTATTTTTTCGCAAGGGAATTTTGAGCACTCAAAAACTTTTATACTCCTACATCAGCCATAACTGATGTAAAAATACCGAAACAAGCAAAATAAAAATCCTAACTTGATACATAGCACCTAGTGCAGTTTAACAGCATTACAACTTTGCAATTAATATGCAACATTAAGTAGGGCTGATTAAAATTCTTATGCCTAATTTATAGACAAATGAAAATAATAGCATCCCCACTAATCTTCTCATTCTTCATTTTAAACTTTCATCACTATCTGTTAAAGACTTTAGTCAATCTGACTAATAAGGAATCCATATGAAATAAATATTAAAGGCAGCAATTATCTGGTAAATATGAATTCCAGACATTTAAAAACACTTTCAAAATCAGTTCATGAAGACAAATTATGCTGAATAATGAAAAATAGGTAATGAAAAGCATTTAGGTAGAGATTGCTGGAATAGAAGTTACTTTTTGTCCAGGTATCTACTATAACTACAAGAACAGGAAAATGAACTTTTTGCTGACTTCATAACATACTAAAAGAGTCTTTTGCCAATTCCATCTCTGTTGAAGTTAAACATCTTAATTGTTTCTTTAACAAAGTGACAAAGGGATGCAGAAGCATATTTTCGGATAAGTGCTTAAATACCACTTCCATATTCTGTCTTTATCTACAGTTGAGAATTCTTCCAAGTTTCATTTTAGAGCTGCTTTTACACATTTCAGAAACACATGATATATCTCAAAGTAGTCAGCTTCACTAGCATTGTACCACTACATTAATAGTTTCTGGCAAACATTTCTCTAACAATAAACTGATTTTTAATTTATCCTGAAAATATGCTACATAAAAAATACTTGCTAGAATATATTTTGATGAAAATTTGAATATCTTATCTAAACTCCATGAGTCTATGGATGGGAACCACATGATATTCAAAGATCGAGATTACCGGTAACATCAAACAGGACTCAACATTTATTTCTTTTTTAAATCCCCACCACCTCCTACCCCCCCCCCCCCCCCCCCCCCCCCCCCCCGCCCCAAAAAAACCTCCACAACTGTTCAAAAGCCTTAGACTACAGAGGATTTTAAAATGGTTATGGGGTACATGGTTAAGTTCCAACTACACAACAACTTGACCATACTGGCCATGACCTGGTTACAACTATGTCTAACCGCAGCCTTCTACCTCAACAGTAGTTGGGAGACTAAACCAGGGCCTAAGATTAGGCTCAAAACAGGAAGTGTGTGCTAGAGATACTGGTATCACTTGAGACCCTCAAGGGAAGTTATACAATTGATATATGTAATGCTGCTGATGGTGGCAAGAGGATTTAGTGATTGTATTCATAATAAACTCCAGCAGCTCAGTGCTACAGTCTACTTGGCAATATATTACATAAAAGTTAATCATCTCAAAACAGAACTGTGCTGGAATAAACAGATCTGTTTTGCTGTGAAAGAAGTTATCTTGGTTATAACAGAGTATGGGAAATATAGTTCTGAGGTATTACTACCTCCAAAAGCCGAAAACAAAGATTCCATTAGATGAACTAATAAAAAGCTAGGCACAGTGTGTATGTAGATAGGGAAGTGAAGACAGTCAGCAGCAGGCCAGATAGTGTATGTATTTTTCCAAGACTTCTATGGTGATGCTAAGAAGCACAGCTCCATTAGGATCTGCCAAATTAGAATATGCCTACTGGGCATGCTCAGTAGTCCCCCCCCCACCCCCCAACATCAACCCTTGCCCCTCCCAGAACAAACTGAGCAAAAAGGCTACTCCACATGTAGCTAGACCTCTACGTTTTAAAAACTTTATTTAAAAAAAAAAAATACAAAGAATGCAATGCATAGCTTTCATACAGTGACTTTCATATCAAAATTTGTTCCAGTAACGAGTAAAAGTTGGTTCCAGCTGCCAGCCCTACCAGTTCAACATGGGCTCTGAAAGCTTCAATACTGCCAAAAAAAATTATTTACCTTTAGGCAGAGACCAGCTTTATAGGAGAGTTTTTCAAAAAAATATAAATGCATGTAAAAACAGGGAATTATAAATATTTAATTATAAATGCAAAACCTATTACAAACTACAAGTGAATCTTTCTATTTGTATTTATTTTAGATAATGCTTTTCCTTTTCTCTGACAATGGTGGATTCTTATTGGAGCACAAACAGACCTCAATTGCCTAAAACATAAATGAAAGGGTTAAATTTAAAAAAAGTTCATTATTGCATGTGTTTATGGTTTTCTTACCTAATGCTGATACATTGATGAATACGACAGAAAGTCTCAAATATAAAAAGACGAGCATTCTCAATGAAATCTTCAAGACACGCCACCAAGAAAAAGTCATTCACAAGCACCTGTAAAAACAGGGGAAAAGAGAATAATGATAGAAACAATATCTAAAGTAAATGTACTCATGCAGATAACCTCAGTAACTAAAACCAGTGATTAGTGTTGTCTGAAGTAGTTTCTGGAATATTTTAAAACATACCCAGAGCTTTACAAATTAACACACAAATTTTCAGAACATAATCTGCTAAAACCCAATTATCCTGTCCGTTGTATACGTGCAATTTTTATCCAAGTCTTCATCCAGTGAGGGGATGATTAGTCCTCCAATTCTCAAGGTTTTATTAAAAGCTCTCTACAACAGTAAAAACAATATATTAATTTTCTCTTCCTCACTGCAAGATTTCCACGTCCACTTTTGCAATTCTGGGAAAATATTAAGTGGACAGGACCTCAACAATTCTGCTAATGTGCATGCCAAAACAGACTAGCTCATTCTCCCACAGCTATATTGACTCTAGTGCCATCAAGAGGAAGTTCACAATTGCATGAATACAATATTCCATTCTCCACTAACCCACAACCCCAGTAATTACACAAGCCTTAGATTTTCCATCAGATAATTATGGTAATAGGTTAAATTTGTAACTATAGGAATTTTCATCCCATCCATGTAGCAACACTGAAATTTAAGTACACTGTTTCAGGAGTTATAACCTCAACTCACAAAGCAGATTACTCTGTAGAGCAAATGAAGTTATTTTGTAGCTAAATATTAAAATTACTAATACCAAGTTTGGAGGAAACAAGGTAAAATAAGAACATACTGTTACAGAATCTGTACCCATTTCTCTTAACTTGAAATATTTAGAACTATGCTATTCTACAGCAGCCAAAGTTTCAGAACTGTGGATTCAGTCACAGATGATTCATTACAATATCTCTGATCTATGAATAATCTGCTTCAGTTATTTCTACACACAATATAAAATTTACTTTTTTTACAATAACCTTAGCAGATACATATGTGAAAATATGCCACACGCTATGTAGCTCAAAAATTACACAAACATAACATGTGCTAAATACTAATAGCTACACATTAAACAGCTGGAAAAGCAAATCAAGTCACCTATCAATAGTGAAGATCTATTTCACAGTTCAATTTTAGCAACTAGCTACAAATCCCAAAAGAATACAAAATTTAATTACCGTGTGTGACAGGGTGCTGAGCAGCAAGACTGCAGAATCATCCCCCTGCCACACCAGCCCCATTTAGGCAAATAAAGTACAGCTAGCTGGAAAGAACCTGCCCTAATTGGGGAATGAGAGCCAGCTGCCAGCCCAAATAGCCCAGATCTATATAAGAGGCTAGGAACTAGGAAGCCAGGGTGGTGGGATGGAGGAGAGCGAGGGAGTGCAGGCATGGAGAAAGCCCTTCCCTCTTGGGTTCAGACACAAGGAACCCAGAGCTGTTCATGCTGTTTGGTGAGGTGGTGGTGGGAGCACAAAGGTGTAAATAAAAACACCAGTGGTTTCAGAACCCAAGGTGACTTTATCTGAGCCTAGCAGATACAGGAGCCAGGAGGGCCAGCTGTGCTCTGTTACATCCTGGTATCCTTGAGTCATGTGACTCAGAGCTTTTCAGCATGGAAATTGCGAACTTATGAACTTTTGCTTAGCCTTTTGGTAAAAATGACAGTCTTTACAGGTGAAAAGCCCACAGCCAATCTCCTCTCTCTGCAGTCACCACAGATTTCTGATCATGCTCAGTAGTACACTTCTTCCTGAAAAGCCCACCTGACAATGCATTACTTGTGTGGTTGATATCATCTAAGCCCCTTCTCCTATCACAGAGGCTGTTTATAAACTGGAAAATGCACTGGGCTAGAAAATGTATTATAAATATTTTAACTAGCATTAAACATGAGTCTTCCTTTATTGTTTGCAAGGGCAGTTGTGTTTAAAAATGTTAGCTAGCTGTAGTTAACTCTACACAAATTATCTATGTCCAAACTCAAGGCAAAAATAATATTTTCTAATACAAAGCATGTTCCATATATAGACAAGGCTTGAGTGGAATCTTTGTTCTATTCAGATGTTCTCTTCCCTCCACATGTTAAGCTCAGTACTGTTTTGCTCCATCAACTGCTCTCAGCCTCCTCTGATGTCCGTGTTTGGTGGTCAGGAAATTGGTCAATAACTCGATCAGATTGTACTTCATGTTCTTAGCAAAAAGATTTTTTCCCAGCCTGACCAATTTGGCAGCCAAACTTACTACCTTTCAGTATTTTTCTTCTTTCCTATTAATTTTGGAAGGTTTTATATGATCTACAGAGAGTGAGAGGCTAAGACAGACATCTTTGCTGCTGATAACCAGCTTGAAAACACCTCCGTAGTGCAAAAAAACAAAAGCAGAGATATTGTTGTTGAAGTATATATTTTGCATTATTTAAATATTTTAAATACTTCTGAAAGAAAATCATTCCGCAATTATGGAAAGCGGATGTTCATACTACAGTGCCAAAAACTGCATGGGGTAGTGGCCCTACAGGGAGGGGGGCGGGGCTAGCTTCTCTCAAAGTGGCAGGCCCATGTTTCTCTCAACCTGTACTATCTAGCAGACCTGGATGGCCTTTCACCCCATGACAAAATAGCTGTATCTGTGATAGCTGCTTCAAAAAGTGTCAAAAAAATGGGTCCAAATCAGTCACAGGACTTTTCATTTAAGAAAGGTGAAAGATTATTTAACTCCAGATTCACTGAAATAATTTTTATAAGACCATGTTTAGTATATTTATGTTGCCAACATCTGAAACTTAAAAAACTGTTAAGTTTACACAAGCTAAAACGTCTTACCGCTTCACACTCTCTCAGTTTTTTCTGGGCACCATCGAAGTCAAAATTAACATACAAACATTCTACAAATTCTGTAATGGGGTCCTTGTATGTGTAGGATTCCTGTCAAAGTCATTCAAGAATATTAGATATTTCAAGTTTTTTTAAGAAATAACACTTCATAATATTCACAAAATCAATTAAGAGTATATTTTACATCTCTTAAATGAACCAGCACTGACAATTTCCAATTTATTTCCAATTAAGATAAATATTTAAAGTATCTTTTAAATAAGATACTTGTCAATTAAAATCATTAAACAATTTTATTTAACTTAGTAACTAATTCCACCTAAGATTATTAGAAATGGAAGAACTCTTACTATTGATGCTTTGTTTATTTTTTTGCAACTGTCACACCTTGGACAATGAACATTAATTAATTTATTAACAATGCTGCAATATTTGGGCTGGTAATACTTCAGTTGAAATGTTCATTAAAAAACACATTGTATTTTATTTCATTTCAAAATACCTTGTTTCTTCAAAATCTAAGTTTGGGGACAAATCTGAATTTGCTTTAGTTTCATTTCATACCATAGTTTGATACAGGATATTTGATTAGGAATGATCTCCCATTTTACAAATGAGATGCCGTGTGTAAATGTCAATCAACACCATTTTGTATTTTTAATAAACTAAATATTTTGAATTACTTTTCATATTGCAACATTACAAAAATAATTTCCCTAATTACAAGGAAATAACCTGATGACTCTAGACCTGAAATTAAATCCATGACATTCATAATTCAATTATGAAACACTTTCAAATCCTTCTAAAAAAAGTTTAACTTTTAACATAGAAAGGCACCATGCAACTTGTTTACTTGAAAAATGATACTTAAAGTATTACAGACAATTGGCAGTTTAAGTGAGCAGTAACCAAGATGTACAACTTGTAATACTATATAAATAAACGTTTTCCTTCTTTGAAAGGAAGCTACTTAAATTCTCAATACTGGATGTAACAAATTATAAATCTGCTAATTTATAATCCAGTTTTGCAACTATTAAATTTTGTGAAGTACTACATTTGTTAATCAATTTATTGATACCCATCACGTAATTAGCAAAGCCTAGAGTCCTGTGGTATTGCAATCTAAGAAAGTAGAAACTGATATATTGACCTCCAACTGTTATGATACACCTCTACCCCGATATAACGCTGTCCTTGGGAGCCCCCCCCCAAAATCATACTGCGTCATAGGTGAAACCGCGTTATATCTAACTTGCTTTGATCCGCCAGAGTGCGCAGCTTCCCCCGCCCCCGGAGAACTGCTTTACTGCGTTATATCTTAATTTGTGTTATATTGGGCCTCATTATATCGGGGTAGAGGTGTAATTCTATAACCTTCAAGTGTAGTCCACCCCAGTTAGAGTTCTTCCCTATCTGTCAAAACAGGATAACTGCTTTGAAATCTACATACGAAAAGTATTATTTCAGAGCTAATATTATAAATACAGAAGTGATTTAACAGCATAAAAAGAGTGTTGGAAGATTTATTCCCTGAATGGGTATTGAGAGGTTTCATTATGTATCATACGTTTTGGTTTGGTAACATCAAAATATGTTCTACTAATGTATTTTGCTTCAACCAATCTTTATTTGGTTTGAATAAGAAATATGGATACAAAATTTCTATGCATAACAAACTGTTTCAAACAATGTCAGAATTCTTAACGTTTTTAAAATTCAATGCTGATCCTATTGCTTCATTTCTTTATGTTGCCTTATATTACAGCATCAAGATTTCAAATGTACTGGAACCCAAGGTTGAAGTTGGTTCTTAATTTCTATCAATTTGAAATTTTAACACTCTACATTAAGTTCAGTACGCACTAATATCAAATGTTTTGAAAACCTGTAATATTTAAATTTTTACATTTTGTTTTGCAG